GTTCTTTGAACATATTTATAATGACTGCCTTGAAGACTTTTTCTGTTAAATATGACATCTGGGCCTTCTCACAGGCAGTTTCAGTTGCTTACTTTTTTCCCCTCCTGTGTATGGGTCACACTTTCTGGTTTCCTTGTATGTCTCATAATTTTTTTGTTGAAGACTTGCCATTTTAGAGAATGTATTGTAGCAACTCTGGGTCCTCAGCCCTCCTCCCATGGCTGCTTGTTGATGATGCTTGTGTGCCTGTTTAGAGACGTGGCTGGACCAGTTATCAAAGTCTGTTTACCTCCCAGTGCGAGGTCTCCGGTGTCACTCCCGAGGGCACAGCCGTGGGCACGTGCGCAGTCACGCGGGACATTTCCGCAGGGCTCGACTGTCTCTCCGCGGCCATCTGCATCGCGCCATCTGTCAGGTTCCACTATCGCCCGCTGATTGTTCTATCGGTTCCAACAACAGCCTGCGGCACATGCTGCTCCGCAGTTTGATCTACTTAAATCCAAGCCCTTTGCAAGGGCATTTTGAGGCCAATATTGGAGGTTTGTTCCGGCCCCAGGAAGACCCTTCTTACCTGTCTCTTCCCTGGAGCTCTCTGGCGGACTCCCCAGAATGTGGTTGAGCTCAGAGTTCTCATGGAGCTGCCAGCTCCTCTTCTTCGCTTACTGCTCGGGCTGCCTTCCTCCCTTAGGCTTAAACTTCCCCACGCTCCAAGTCAAATAAATTCAGTTCCCCTGGGGGACACTTTGGAGTTCTCTATTCCGATGACATGCGTCTTTCCCCGGGAACGGTTCCTGAGGTGCTGCTCCGGAGCTGGGAGCAGGGACAGTGGCCCATTTCTCGTGAAGTGACGTGTCTTCTCCTTGCACAGGGCACTGGATGGGGGAAGCAGCTTCTAGTCCTCAGAGCTTGTGTCTCCCAGCGTAGACCCTCTGCCCTGTGAGGCCCTAGGACGGGCCCCACACACTGTGTGCTGGGCTGGTGGAGGAGGAGGACCCCAGCCTGCTGGCTGCTTCTCCCTGGAGTAGAGCCTCTGCGACATGGAATTGGGGGGTGCATGAGAAATGCAGGCGGCCTGCCCCCACCCCCGGGAGACACTGGGAGCCTGAGGGGAGGAGAACTCCCCCAGCCGACTCAGAGCAGAGCCTTCCTTGCTGGAGCCGGGTGGGGAGGCTGCCTTCACTCAAGGGCCCAAGTTTTAACTCTCACTCTTCTTACCAAGATTTCGTAGATTTTCTTGAGTAAAATTTTAAAATTTTTCTGTATGCCCTTAGGAAAATCTGCAGAGACTTTAAATGACTGTGTTTTTTAAACTCATCTTTATCAGTTGTCGTTGTAGTCTCACGGGGGCGTGGGTCTGTGGAGTGACTCACGCGTCATCTGGGCCTCAGCTCCCCACGGATGGGGCTGGTTGTTGAGTTCGCTCCTGCCTGTCCGGGGGCGTCCCGGCGGGCACCGAGGCCCTGCTCCCCGCCAGGGCGCCGCTGAGCGCTGGCACCTGGCATTCCTGCATCTGTTACAAACCACCGATCGGGCACGAGGGACCTGCGACTCGTTTCTGGTTTTCTCCAAATAGGTTCAATTTTCACAGTCCTCATTATGCAAGAAGTAGAAAAACATGTTTATTTTGTGCTCTGAGTTGGAGAGTGTAATTTATCTGGGGATGAGGTGGAGGTAATTTATGCAACCCACGCGGCTTCCCTGGGGACACTGAAGGGGGGACTCGGCAGCCACCTCCAAACTGCCGCTGGCCACGCAGGGGGAGCCCCAGGGCCACGTGGATGTCCTACACGCAGCCTCGCTGCTCAGCCTGGACCGTCCCGTGGATGCCGTTGAGGCAGGGGTCCTGCTACGAATGTCCTCTCCTCTCCGGCCTCCCTGAGTGGCCCAGCTCCAGCGTGACCTGCCCCTCCCGCCATCCTGACTCCCCCAGTGAGGAACACGCCTCCTTCCCGTGATTTCTGACGTCATTAGTAAAGTTCAGAGGGCGCCGTGTGGCCGGCCACCTGTAGTCTACTACTGCTTTGTGGATACGGTCATGTGATTTAGAGGTATACACACACACACACACACACACACACACACCCCGTAGGCACAGCAAAGACAGGCGGAATGAATGACAAGTGTTTGTGGTTTGCCGCTACCGTGGGAGGAACCTAGTGCGTGGGGTCGTCTATGCCGCCCGTGAGGTGGGCCTGGGGCCTGAGAGTGTGTGTCAGAGAGAATCCAGGCCAACCCAGTCCAGCCTGGAAGGATGTTTTAGTTGATCTGCACAATGTCGGAGAAAAAAATTATTTGCCAATATTTAAAAATTGAGGGATTTTTACATAGACTCCGGGCACCTGAGTTTATGTTGCTCCCTGACAGCAGTGGCCGGAACTGCATGGTTTCTGATGGACTCCGGGCCCTCGGCCCCTGGCACCGGCTCTCTGCAAATCAGGCGCGGGGCCGGCTCTGTCTCTCCTCCATCCGTCTTCCCGTCAACTCCCCCCAGTTAATCTCATCAGGGGCCAGGAACGGCCTCCCTCATTCCGACTGGGCTGGGCTGGCTGCCGCCTAAGCACTCTCGGCCTCCGGCTATGAATTCCCCAGCGAGAGGTCGCCCAGAGCAGTGGGGTCGCTGCGGGAGGGCCCTGGGGGAGCAGCTTCTCCCTGCAGACCTCACCCTGGCCTCACCCCAGCCTTCCAGCACCATCTGGAGGCTGCGCCCTGAAGCGAGGTTGGTGCTGGGGCTGTCGAGTCAGCAGCTCCCGGCGGGGTTTTGTCGGCGCCGGGCCCTGTACTGGGAATCGCGAGGGGGGCGGAGCTGAGGACACACAATCTCCCACAGGCGGCCAGAGAGGAGAGCGACGAGCACTTGAGAGTTTACAGTCGAGGCAGCCGATGCGGATCTGATCTCAAGCTCAGAAGGGACAGAAAGTAACCTGTTTTATTTTTCTCCATTGCAAACCGATATCGTTTGTCAGCCCCCACCCATCTGGGGGTAAACCTTGCTGGTAGTCGGCCCCAGGCCCGGCTTTCCCTGAGGCCGCAGAGTGGCGGCCGTGGGCGCCGCGTCCGTCCGTCCGTCAGGGCAGGCCGTGAGCTGCTGCGACAATGGCTTCCCCCACCCGTCGGTTTTAAATGACACGCGACCGTTTCCTGTAGACACTCTGTGTCCTCCGTGGGTCAGGGGTGGGTGACAGAGAAGTCACCCCCTCTTGCCACTGCCAGTTGCCGTGTGAGGGGAGGAGACAGGGCGGACACCACGCCGGAGACCAGCGCTCGGCCCGGCTCCCTGTCCAGAGCGAGCCTCGTGGCCCCAAGAGTCCTGGCAACAGCGGCCGGCACACGGGAAACCGGGGGGCACAGTGAGAGGTCGTCCCCCCGACTCCCGGACTGTCCTCCCCTCCCCGGAGGCTACCTCGTCTCCTCCACGGGTGACTTTATTGCCAGACATTCTGTAATGCATTTAAACTATTTTGACATTTAAAACAAAGGGCTCCAGAGACAGGCCTGTCCAGGGTGACACTTTTTCAGGGGGATTAATTAAAAAACAAAAACAAACTCTGGTTTTCAGAGGGGGAGGCGTGGAGCCAATTCTGCCCCCAGAGGGCGCAGGCGAGCCGTGGCCCGGAGGCGCCCAGGCAGGTGGCAGGAGGGTCCTGCCTCCTCCTCCTCTTCCAGGACAGCATCTCCCACAGGCTGTGACCTCAGCCGCCGACCTTCCCAGGGGCCACCCGTCCTTAGTGCATCTCCGTTCCCCACCTTCCATCCCACGGGCCAAGAAATGCGGTGTCCTCGTAGGCACCCTCGGGGAGGCGTCCGTGGGTGAAGACGGCGCTGGCCCTGTGCCTGCTGCCACCTGCCCTGCCACCCCGGAGCAGGCGTCTCAACCAAGACCGCTGACACTTGCGTGGGCCGGGTGACTTGCGGGGCTGTCCTGGCATTGCAGGGTGAGCAGCAGGATCCCTGGGCGCTCCCCACCAGACACCGCCCCGCATGACAACCCAGAATGACTTTGTCTCCCGCGGGCCGGCCTCGGCCCTGGTCGAGAACCAGGTTCCGGACGGCCCAAGCCGAGCTTCCCTGCTCTGGCGCCGCAGCACTGCGTCTCGCCCGCGTCATCCGCTCTGGCGAGACTCCTGCGCTTGCTGGTCTAGCGTGTGAGCCAGTGTGGGTGTGAGTGGGCGGGGGGGGTGTGCGAACGTGCGTCATCCCTTTGTTCAGACTGTGACTTCTCTGGGGAGGGGCCGTCCCGAGCCCCCACACTCGAGGCGTAGCTCTCTGCGCGTATCGGTGCAGCGCGAGTGAGTGAGCCAGTGAGTGAAGGGAAACGGGGGCTCACGTGGTGCTCCCTGCTCTTCCGCAGGTCTCCCTCTCCTGATCTGTGTCGTTTCAGTGTCATCTGCCATGGACAGCTACGGCACAAGTGACAAGTAAGTGAAGGGTTGCCTTCCGCGGCAGGCCTGCCCTGGGGAAGGGTCCCTGCGGGGACCCCGCACCTCGCTCCCTGTCTCCCCACGTGCTCCTGGGCACAGGAAGGGCTCCCCCAGGCCTGGCGGTAGGAGGGTGAGGGCCAGACGGGGTGAGAAGCAGCCAGCTCTGCTCTGGGCGTCTCCAGCCTTGGAGCTAGTGACGAGGGCGCCAGGGCGGTGGGGGGCCGGTAGGAGTTTCTGGTTGGATTTTCCCATCCGTGCGGTCTTCCCCGGCACAGTTCCGGCCGTCCGTGGAGCCCACGTGTGACCTGTAGCCTTTCTTAGGGCAGTCAGGACATGCTTAGTCCATGGTACGTGCCCAGTAAGCTGCAGCGGAGTGAGCACATGCGTGTTTGGAGAAACGTGGTCTCATGTGCACCAGGCAAGCGGGGCTGGAGGTTCCCACGCTGGAGTCCTGGGGTGGGGACTTGGTGTCCCAGGTCACAGGCTCCACTGAAATGCAGCCGATGGGCCCACGGTTGGACCAGAAGGAGGATGGGATGGCGCGTGGGACCAGGTCCTGTGTTCCGGTTCTAGAAATCTTTTCCTTTGCTTAAAGAAAAAAGGCTTCAGCTCAAATGTCTTTAGGAAGCCGGTGCCTGTTTCAGCCGAGCTGAGGTACCACTGAGTGAAAACATGAAAGAGAAACACTACTGAGAGTACTTTGGGAGAGAAAGAAGAGTCAGATGTTCTCACAGCTTCAGGGTGAGATAATATTACAGATGAGTCGTGAAACCGGAGGAATCTAGCTTTTCTGTTTTCATGCAACAATTCGGTGAAGAGGAAGCACTTAGAGAAAGCATTGTCTGTGTGCATTCTGAAATAAGAATGATTAAGCAGACCATTGTTCTGGCCCGTTCCTTCAATCCTGGAAGCTTTTAGAACTTGAGGCATTAATTAGAAGAAGAATGTTCTTCTTGAATGATCTCCATGGCAGTTGTTCAGTTTTATCCCGTCTGGCGCTGGCGGGTGCTGGGCGCACCCACCGCACTGAGCCGCAGGCCGCGACCAGAGGACCCGCAGGCCACGACCAGAGGACCCGCCTCCCCCACTCACTGCCCAGAGCCGGGCAGCGCCAGCCGGGGCTTGGGAAGCTCACGGAGTGTCTGAGCAGGACAAGCGTCTGTCAGAAGCTCCTCGTCGACTCAGAGTCCTGCATGAAGCGTTGGAAAACACAGCCCGTCTCTGCAGAATCATCACACTTTGGAGAGCCCGGGCAGAGCTGCGCCTGTGCAGAGGCACACTGAGACCTGCTGTGCGTCTTCCCCTATGCACTGCATCTGCAGGCGAGAGGTCTCTCCTCTCCCTGCTCTGGGTGTCCAGACACGAACGAGCCTCTCGCAGTGCTGTCACCTGTCTCGGGCATTCCACGTCTCCTGGTCCAGGAGGTGTCGGGAGGAATGGGGCAGAAAGGCAGCCAGTGTGCCCGCGAGAGAGCTCCAAGGTCACCTGAGCTTCCTGGGCCTCGGACTCCTCCTCTGCAGGGTGGGGGTGATCACAGCACGGCCAGAGGGGCACCCTAGGGTGACGCTGGGTGATGCAACATGTGGGGGTTGATGTGACGCAGGGCAGGCACGCTGCTCAGTAAACGGTCACTGAGTGAGTGAGCTACGGGCGGAGACGTCACATCTGTGCTCGTGAGGATGGGGTCAGGCTCCTGCCCAGATCCGCCTAACGGCACCCAGATGCCCCAGGAAGCGCTTAGTGTCCCAGCAGCAGAGAAGATGAGATGCCCCAGGGAGTCTTAGCTCTTGATAGCGCCCTGGGCGCTGGAAAGGGATGGATTGCAAAGGACCTGCTTTCCCGCCTGAGTCCTCAAGCTGGACCCTCGACCCAGGACGTCAGAGCGGTCCCCGGGATCCTCCGCAGCTGTTCTCTCAGTGGGGCCGCCGGGAGTGGAGCCGACAGGCGTCCTGGGCAGATGGAAGCGGCTGGGTGCTGTGCCACGTGGCGACCCGTCGGCGCTCTAATCCTCCATGGAAGGCGCTTATTAGGTCATGTTTGAAATGCTCTGCGAGGAAGCTGGCAGAGGCTTATTCATTTTTCATAATGAAATTAAAATCTACTTCGGGTTTTGGCTAGACTCTCCAGGGGCTGCTGACCCAGTCCGCAGACCTGGAAAATCCTTTCCAAGAACATGCCATGAGATCATCATGGATAAAAAAGATTTGTTGGGATTAAGAATGTCATTGTGGTCGTGCCCCAGGTGGACCCTGTCACTGGGAAAGACACCGTCTTAGCAACTGCTTTGGATGAAGGTGGCCCCGGCTGCCGGGGGCAGGTGGCCCGAGGTGGCTGGAGTAACGGCTCTGCTTCCCTCCCCAGCTGCTGGCTGTCCCTGCGGAGTGGCGCCATCTGGGCCTTCGTCGCCCCTGCCCTGTCGGTCATCGTGGTAGGTCCCCTGCCCATGTGGGTGCAGAGCTGGGCTGGGGGGGGGAGGGTGGATGGACTCCCCGGGGACATGTCCCCCCAGGGTGCAGTGTCACTTGCCACAGTTTCTCGTGGGATAGTGGCTCAGTCTCACCTCCCTGAATGAATTGGGAAGACTTGGTGACGTTGTCCCTGCTGAGGCCGCAGGTGCCCTGCCTGGTTCTGCGCCCTCCCGGCTCCCTGCGGCCGTCTCCACGCAGCTCTCCCCGTGCTCCGGAGCACCAGGATCGTGGCTGCAGGAGCGGTGTCAGCAGTCGCCCCCTGGGAGCCACAGGACGGCTCAGGTGTGGGGTGTAGGTGACAGAGAGTGGGGTGCAGGTGACAGGGTGTGGGGTGCAGGTGACAGCTCGGGTCCCGGGTGCAGCTGCGGAAAGCCTGGCTCAGAGTGCAGACCTGGCGGCTCTGCTGCCCCGAGTCCTCCTGCCCAGACAGGTGCCCAAGGCTGCTGGGAGGCTCTGGGTTCCCGCAGGAATCTGGCATCGACTGCTGTGGGGACATTGCTGTTGTCCCACATTCCCACAAGGCTTGGGGTTGAGTTTCGCCACTTCTGATGAGCCTGAGATCTGTCCATCATGGGCCCCTGCTGAGCCAGAGGAGGGCTGTGATTGGCCAGCCCTCACTGTGACCAGAGGAGAAGAATGCTCTCATTGGCCAGCCCTCACTATGGCCAGAAGAGAGGAATACTGTGACTGGCCAGCCCTCACTGTGGCCAGAGGAGAGGACTGCTGTGATTGGCCAGCCCTCACTGTGGCCAGAGGAGAGGAATGCTCTGATTGGTCAGGCATAGGTCACAGCTCTAATCCTGGGGCAGAGTTGGGGGATCAACCCTCCCCCAGGTCCCATGGAAGGAGAGTGGGGAGGGGATTCCCTGGGAGATGGGTGCTGACGCCGGAGGAGGGGTGTGCCCAGGGGAAGACATCAAGGGCCGCTGTGGTCATGAGCATGGCTGCTAGGCCTGGCCTGGGTTTCCTGCTGGAGGGTCCTGCCCCGCGTGGTGGGGGCCAAGCCCCGCCAGGACCAGCTCCCTGGGCCCCTGCCGTGGTGGGTTCTCCCTGCACCAGGGCACCCAGGTGGCCACCCCTGCCATGGTGGGCTCTCCCTGCATGAGGGCGCTGGGTCCCTGCATCTTGCAGAGGCTCTGAGCACAGCTGACGTGTCTTTCTGCCGGTTGCTCTCCCCATGGATGTGGCACCTTGCGATGGGCTGTGCAGCCTCTCAAGCCCAGGGCTGCACTGCTGTCCCCAGGCCTGGGTGGGGCCGTCTGCAGTCCCTTTACAGACTTGTAATGAATGACGGAGGCTCCAGTAAGAAGTCTGCTCTCTCCTCCTCTGGGGTCTAGAAGGACAATTTGTAGAAATGTGTTTGGAACAGACTTCAGTCCCCCGTGTTGTGAACGCTGGTCAGAGCACAGCCACCTGGGATGGGGCTTAAAGGGCAATTTAGTGGCAAAGGGTGAGAGGAGAAATAGCTGTGTTAAGTATGATGTTCCATGTTCTCTTGCTGACTCAAACCCTCCAGGACTGCAGGGCCTGGCAGAGTCGGCCTGTCCCAGACGTTTCCGGGATCTGAGTTTTACGTGTGACCTTTGTCAGTGAAGGCTGAGGTTCTGAGGCTGTTCAGCCGGGATCCTGCTCTCCCATCCCTCAGGGCGTGGGTTGCAGCACCAGCTCCCAGGTCGCAGGCTTGCTAGAGCCGTGCTGTCATTCCTGGGGGGCAGCTGGTTACCCCCAGTCCACTCCCTGTCAGTCCTTCCTGCCTGCACTCCCCCTCCAGAGGTTTGGGTTCTCTGGACCTGGGCTTCAGGGCCCTGCAGCCTCCTGGGTGATGCTCACATGCACAGCCTCAGGGCCTGGGCGCTCCCCACCCCCGGACATCGGTGGGGATTGGGATTGGCAGGGAGGCCTGAGCTAAAAGGGGCTGAGCGCAGCCTGAAGTGATTCCGTGGCCCAGCGCAGGGGTCAGCGGGCTGCGGCCAGTGCGGCCCAGTGTCTGCTTCTGCAGATGGAGTTTTTTCGGCAACGGCCATGTCCCCTGATTTACACATTGTCTGCGGCTGCTTTGAGGCTCCACGCTGGGCTGGATGGTGCCGCGATTGTGGGGCCTGGTCCATGGGCGCCGTGGAGGGTCCTGTCAACCTTGTGCCTCCCCCACGTGCCCTGCGTCACACAGGCGTGGGTGGGGGATGGGTCTTGTGCCTTTTCCCTCTTTCCCCTGTTCAGAGGATCACATGGTCCGTGCCGCCTTGAGTCACGTCCCCATTTAACCACAGTCCTTGGCCTCGTTTCCAAATAAGAAGCGAGCTGCCAGATAACCAGTGTCTCGTGACCCCATTTGTGTAAGAGGCTAAAAGCTCCATGCGCTGCACGTTCACGTGAGCGTGTGAGTGGATAAGGAAAGGTCTGGGCAGATGCCTGCCCAACGATGGCTCCCTAAGGGGAGATTTGGGATGGGGAGTGGTGATTCAAGATTACTTGCATTTAGAAACACCCATCTATTGCTAGCATAATGTTAAAGCAAAACACTGGGGAAAGCTGTACATTTCTGTTGAGACATGTGGTTTCCCTGTGTCCTGGGGAAGTTTGTCCTGAAGGGGCAGGAATTTGGGGACAGTGAAGGGTCGCTATGGCACCTGCTGGGCCTGGTGCTCGGGAGAAGAGGGCAGAACCGAATCCCTTCTGGTGACACCTCTCCCGTCATCTTGCTGCCAGACGCACACGTGGCCCACTGCGCCTTCCCAGATTGTCCTCCGTAATGCAGGGAATTGGGTTTTCATTGATTGGGGGATTCCAGTGACACTTAATTCAAATGTGCCCATGGGCCCAGCAGTTCCTTGCTGTGTTCCCTGGTGCCGTGGCATACTAGGGCTGCCATGACAAAGTGCCACAGACTAGGTGGCTTAAACAAAGGAAATTTGTTTTCTCAAAGTTTTGGAAGCCAAAAGTCCAAGATCGAGGTCTCAGCAGTGTTGGTTTCTTCTGAGGCCTCTCTTGTGGCTGTTTTCTCCTTGTGTCCTTGAGTAGTTGTCCCTTCCTGTGTGGCTGTGTCCTGATCTCTTCTAACGAGGAAACCAGTCATGGGGGATTAGAGCCCACCCTAATGCCCGCATTTTAACTTTTTTAAAGAGCCTGTCTCCAAATATAGTCCAGTTTTGAGGTACAGGGGGTTAGGACTTCAACATACGAATTTTGGAGGGGACACAGCCCATGGCACCTGATTTCACAGTAGCCACAGAGCCTGGACACCCCCCACCCAGAGCAGGGGACTCCATAGATGTGAAGGGCACCTTAGTCTGTGCCCTCAAAGTGGCTTGTTCTGCGCTGGCCCCACTGAGGAGAGGAGAGTGCCTCCAGGTCTGGGGAAAAACTGAAATCCTTGTTTCCTGTGAGAAGCCAGGTTGGCTCCGTCCCCACATAGAGACAGAAACAGAGTTACAAATACAGAGATACAGATGCAGGCAGATACATAGACACAGATAAATGGATACAAATATAGACAGATACAGATACAGTTACAAATGCAGAGATACAGACACAGACAGATACAAAGACACAGATACATGGATACAAATATAGACAGATACAGATACAGTTACAAATACAGAGATACAGACACACATACATGGATACAATTATAGACAGATACAGATACATAGACACAGATACATAGATACATATACAGTTACAGATACAGAGATATAGATGCAAAAATATAAATATAGATACAGCTATAGGTAAATACAGATGCTCCTGCACTTATGATGGGCTTAAGTCCTAATAAACCCATCATGAATTGAAAATATTATAAGTCGAAATGCATGTAATACACATAACCTACCAAACATCATAGCTTAGCCTAGCCTACCTTAAACGTACTTAGAACACTTACATTAGCCTACACTTGGGCAAAATCATCCAATGCAAAGCCTATTTTATAATAAAGTGTTGACTATCCCATGCAATTTATTGAATACTTGACTGAAAGTGCAAGAACGGTTGTGTGAGTACACAAAGGACGACGTCTGCTGAATGCACGTCACTTTCCCACCATTGTAAAGTTGGAAATTGCTGGTGAAACCACTGTAAGGTGGGGGCCGTCTGTAGATACATAAATGCAGACACGGACACAGACAGCTGTGGTTTCAATGTGTCCCCAAAGTCCCCATGTTGGAAACTTCCTTCCCAAGGCACCGGTGTTGAAGGTGAAACCGTTAGGGGCTGATGAGGTCGGGAGCGCTCTGCCCTCAGGAACGGTGAATGCCGCTACCGTGACAGCAGGTCGGTTACCGCAGGTGTGGGTTCCTGTAAACAGATGAGTTTCACCCCACGCCCTCTCCCTGGTGTGCGCCCTCTTGCCCTCCCACCTTCCGCTGTGGATGATGCTTCGAGAAGGCCCTCACCAGACACGGCCCCTTGACCTTGGGCTTCTCAGCCTCCACAACTGTGGGAAGTAAAGCCCTGTGCTTT